AAACAAATAATTAAAAAGAGTCTTTCAAGATATTTTAAATAATTATGGTATGTTAATGCTTTGCATCAGTAAACTTTGTATGACAATGTGACTCATAAAAATTGCCACCACTGAAAATTAAATGACTTCTTGCACGAATGTACTGTTTACTTGACAATACATGTGTATGGTTTAGCCCACATATACAAAGTATTCTACTGTGAGGTAACTTCAGGCCACAAAGTACAGATTTGTATTTATTCTGACTGTAATTTTCATACATCACAAACCTTAATAAGAAAGATTATATTAAAGCCTTGCACGTCAGTCATGCTTGCAGATATACTGATACCAAATTGTCAATGTTATCTTGCCACTTAACTGAGCAAATTTATCCACCAGAGCTCACTTTAAATAAAGCATAATATCTGAATTTAGATACCAGCATCATTAATTAAATTAAAGCTCAAAGTTTTCTGAAATAGACACTTGATTCAATTACTAAGTGATAAACTATCAATTCCCAAATAGAAATATTCTAAGTAAGTTATGTTACAATATTTATTACTCACAGCTTATTAAATACAACAGGATTTATTCACTGTTACAAGACTTTTTAGATAGAACTTGTAAATGCTCATTTTTCAAAAACAACGTTTCTCCTATCACACTTCAAACAAATAAAATTCATTCAATTTTGTGGGAAATTCAACAATATTCTTACCACTGGTTATAGGCTTAGAAGTTCTACAGAATATCATGACCTTTTTAATACTTTTACATCTATACTTTAATTCTTTTGCAAGTTATTTATGGAACCACTTTAGTGTATTGACCATCATTGGTTTACCACCCATGAGATTAAATTCTTATTATATATAGTTAATACTAGCTATCAATCAGTATACAGTATCAAGTTATGTAATTGAATAAATTACATTAGTTTTGCTAAATATTTTATTTTCCATGTTTACAATTGTTGTAACTTTCTAATTCTTATTATTATTATTGAACTTTCTTAGGGTGAATTGCATTCACCTGTCGGCTTTTACAGAAGGTTAAATTTTCATTATTTCTACCTGTTGCCAGATTCATGTATTTTGTTAACTTTTGTCAAAGTGGGAGTAGTTGTGTTAGACACACCTGATAATATGTTTAACGTATTGTTTTATTTGTATTACGTTTAATACTGTACATTATATTTAAATTACAGAATAAAAAATCTAGACATTTATTATATGATTCAAATGTTCATTTAACTTCTTTTTTGTATCTTCATAGACATTAGTTTAGGTGTATTGGTAATGTCCTGCTACTGTTTCTATACCTGAAAAGTAACACGTGTCATAGTAATGTATCTCAGATGCCATGCTTCCCTAAAGTTATACTGTCAGAGTCGTTTAATGGGTTTTAATTGGTCACAAGATGCTTTTATGGAAAGTTGTAGGAAATTTTCTTTATATGCAGTAATAATGGTGTTACACTGTTCAACAAACATTACACCAACAACAATACTTAAGGCCAACAGCAAGTGTTTGTATGTTCCATAAGTAAGACATGTTCTATTATTTCTTTATTGTTACTTTCATTAACAGTATTGATAAGAATGTTTAGTTTACATTATTATACCTTTATTAAAAAGACTGTTTTGCATTGTTAACCTATTGTATGTATTTAGAACTAGGTAAATCTTCCGAGCTGGGTGGATCTCTTGAGATACTATGGGTTTACAGCTAAAAATATCTTTAACAGAGAAGGTATCCAACTGATGAAACAATAGGATACCCTCTCTGTTAAAGATATTTTGTTACTTATAAAGATTAGAAGGCATTGTTTCATCAGTTGGATACCCTCTCTGTTAAAGATATTTTGTTACTTATAAAGATTAGAAGGCATTGTTTCATCAGTTGGATACCCTCTCTGTTAAAGATATTTTGTTACTTATAAAGATTAGAAGGCATTGTTTCATCAGTTGGATACCCTCTCTGTTAAAGATATTTTGTTACTTATAAAGATTAGAAGGCATTGTTTCATCAGTTGGATACCCTCTCTGTTAAAGATATTTTGTTACTTATAAAGATTAGAAGGCATTGTTTCATCAGTTCTTTCTAATCTTTATAAGTAACAACATAAAAAAAGCATATCTAATTAGATATACTCATTACAAGGTTGATCTTTAGTTTTGTTCTGAATGGCAGTAAATATTAAAGTAACTGGAAAATCAATAATGAACAGACAGCCTAAATCTCCCAGAACACTCGACCACCTCCTGAAAAATGTCTGAAAGCCTGCTGGAAGTACAATGCTAAATACATTTAAAGCTTTGATATGTTTTTAAACAGATCTATTTCAAGTGATGTATGCATACAAAATTGGGTAGGTGCTAAACAAGATTGGTTGGTTGGTGGAAGCAAGGTAGTTGAACATGGATGGTCAGTCACCCGTTCATCAAACATATAAAGATATCATGATAATAACAGTATTGTTGAATCTCAAAAACTCTCTCCCTGAAATTAATATTGTGAACTTTGGCTGTCTGAGAATGAAGCTAATCTACTAAGTTCTTTGAAATCTGAAGAAAATACTGTAAAATAATGGCTGTTTCTTGTAGGTGTTTGCAAATACCACTATATAAACACACATATTAACCTTATAAGAAGAGAGAACTCAAATACAGGATTACATGTAAACCAGCTTATTGTTGACTTTTATAGAGGGCAAACACAAATGGGTATATGAAATATCAAAACTTCATTAAGAAGAAAAATATACCCATTTGAAGACACCTACGATACGAAATTGTATACACATTGGTTAACAATTACTTGAAATCAAACTCAAGAAAAACATTTTTGCTAATTCAAGAAAACATAACTCAAACAATTATTGACTAGTGTGAAGTTTCTGAAACTTGGAACAGTCGTACAATTTGATGAGAAGTAATACCGTTAGATTTTATTGATAAAGTTAGCAGTTTTAGCAAGAAATTAGATTACACTTTAGGGAGGCATGACTTGTCATACTCAGTAAGTTCTAATGTTTGCCACGAGTATGTTCTTTAATATGACTTAATACTGAAACACACGGCCAAAAAAAACTAAGTTTGTTGATGATAATTTGTAAATCTTGTGAGACTGTTCTTAAACCCACAAAAATTAGCAATACTAATTCTCCTCAAATTGTAAGCCTCTTCCAATTTTCAATACTGTAATTTGTTTAAAAACTCTTGTAAATTTTTCTAAGTAGACTCACATCAGAAAAATTATAGATTAGTAAGATTATTAACTCTATCAACACGGTCTCGGTCAATTTGACCAACCACGTGACTTCTTTGACTCATTTAAAGTCTTTATAGATTTAATACTTCTAACTTTCAATATAGTGTGTATATCTTCACAAAATTTGGCAGTCTTTCCATTAATATTACAAGTCTTTCACATACAAAAAATCATGAAGTATTTTTAATAAAAAAAAAATAAAGATTTGTCCCAAAATATATTGAGTATTTGTTTTGAATAGTCTGTGTGAAAAGTAATTTTCATATTAAAATTAAAAATACTTTTCCTCATTTCAAAAATCTCAAATTTCCTTTGTTTAATCCCTAAAATCTCCTAAATACATTTCAACATTTTTTTTCAGTAAAACTTTATAGTTTATCTGTTATTTTCTCTATCCTATCTTGAAACAAAAACGGTCAATTCGACCAACCTCGTAACAACCAAAAAAATTGAAATAAATCTAAATTACACTTCTTTCTTTCTAGAATGACTTCATATTGTAACATGAAACTACATTCGTTTATCCTAAGTAGCTCTAAATTTGTAACAGTATACATCTACGTATAATTAAATTTTATGGATTTATTGCCCTTTGAACCATGTCTAACTACTATCCGCGCCATTATAAGTTGTAAATTACTCGGGGATCGTGCAGCTTGTGTTACGCTAATGAATTACATTACCCACGAACTGCCTCATGAAACAATTTTATTATTATCATTATTTATTTTACCTAATCTAATCTTAACTAACCTAAAAAGATCCCAATTTTTACATTTTAGTTACTTTTATAATTATACATAAAGAAAAAACATGAAAAACAAGAAGTAAAATACTTAACCAATCTTTCTTTTTTTCTTGCTGTCGATTGGTGAAGAGAGTTAACCCTAATTACCATATACTAATGATAGTAATGCACTTAATTTTTTATTGAATTAAATAATGCACCAAATAATATAGACTAATAACATGCAAAAAGTAGACAAATTCCCTTACCTCTCAACAATTTTCTGGCTTTCTTACTATGCGACAAGAGTTGTTACAAATTCATCCAAGCTAGTCGTTAACTTTCTCACTAAAATAATGTTGGTACTCTAAGTGAAATTAACATTTAACCATTCAGAACACAACATTATACAATATGTCATTTGATAGATGAAGACCTTGACTTTCTATTGGTTATAGGTAATATATAATTAAATGTAAGAGAGAACTATTAACAAATCCTGAAAGAGAGGATTTGACAGGTGAGTTTGGCAGAATGGGTTTGATTTTCTATTGGATAGCTCTGTAACGAAATAAAATTGCAGACTATAAAAAAGATGATTTGTCGAAGCAATGACGATTTTATAGTGAATAATTTACTTTTAATATCATATTTTTCTAAGGGGTGGTGGATATAATAGAGGAGACAAGATGCCTAGCGTAAAATATGTCACGTGTGTCACACCATGAGAAATTCAGGATTTTTTAAATATTGCCTTGTAGAATTAAGAGCTTAAAACTTATATATATTAAAAAATGGATTATTAGCTAAGATTTTATGCTATTCTAATGGGTATAACATAAACAAAAAGTAGTTTAATAAAATTTTGAATGTAAGAGACTAAAACCTTGTGTAATGAGCAGTAAAGGATACCCGCAGCAATAGGGTTAAACTTGAGGTCTTAATCTACCAAACTTTTTTAGATCAGTAAGATTATTAAACTTCAGGAAGTAGGTATGCAACAGCAGCATACTGTACTAACCTTTTCTAACACAGTTCCAAAGCTGATCTTTAGTCTGACACTGCTCGTATGCATAAGGAAGTTGCACATGACCTGCACACAGATACCAAAAGAGTATTCCAAAAGCATACACATCAACACTGTTGTCATAATGACCACTAAACAGTTCTGGAGCCATGTGGATTGGAGTGCCAACTATACTACCAGACATCATAGCTTCAGGCTTGCAAAACCCCAGATCTGTAATCTTTGCTCTATTTTTCTTGTCAAGCTACAAAGAAATTATACAGTTCCATTAAACAGACACACCAAACAAGTTAATGATATAACGCTACAAAATTATACACAAAAATAATGCTTAACCTCAAAACCAGTCTGACTTTTATTCTTAGCATACTGTTAAGAAAATAGTAATGAAATACAGAACAATGGCCATAGCAACCCCCTCCCCACCCTTTAATAAAATTAAGTTACTTAGAAAACTAATTCTGTTCTATTTCATGTAATCACTTTTTTATAAGGTTTTTCTATGTCACACATACTTTGATAATATAGGCAGACACTTTAAACATTTGTAATGCTAGACTGATTCAGTGATCATACAAACACAGTTTTATCATGAAGAAAGGTTTGTTGTGTCACTTGTAGTTTTCTTTTATTGTTAGGTTTCTTATGGCCTTTCATGCAGGTGATATGTTCATCAACAAGTTACACATTTCAGATATTTTGATAAAATTTTAACTCTGAAATTACAAATCTTTAATCCCTTAACAATATGCCATAATTTAATATTGTTTTATAAATGCAAGGTTGAAAGATTTTCCTGAATTATAAAAAAAAAGATTATGAACCACTAATCATGCAGCTGCTCTAATTCACTTGATTACAATCAGATTCTGAAAAAAACTTTCGTTTTATAGGTTTTTGATGGAATAATAACCAGGGAAAATTTGTATCATTTTTATTAGTTTTATGCTATAAAAAAATATCATAAATAAGAAATAGTTTATATAAATATTCCACGATAATATAATAATTTTTTTTTAAATATTGATTTGGTATATACCTATGTAATTGGATGAACTAATTTATTTACAAAAGCAGGAAATATAAAAAACTTTATCAAATAATTAATAATTTATCTTACCTCTTAACAAACTGCACATTTACGGAATGTTAATTAACTAACCTTTCAATAACATAAATGTATCAGTGAATGAGATCTTTCTAAGTATAGAAAATAAGTACTTACAAAATAAACAAAACTGGTATGATACAAAGTATTGGTTAACTTTGTTAGTTATATGGTGATAAGACATGTAATAACTTAATACCTTTCAATTCAACTTGTGCAAACAATAACTATTCATTTTCTTACATAATGTCTTGAAATTTGTCCAAGTATACTCTATGAGACTGTGTACCCAATACCTTTGAGATTATGTAAACAATGTTTAGGTGTTTCTTAAGCTTAGCAACTTATCAATACAAAATTTCAGTTACCCAAACAATTAAATTTTTAAGAACATGTTAACGTGTTAACATTGCATTCAGTGTTATAATAGATTTCTAAATTGAACAGACTAGTTATTGCTCAAATGATGTTTAGAACCTCACCAAAAAAAGGGTGAGGTTAACAAAATATTTTCTTAAAAAAGTATTTATTTATGAAAGGAGGAGGACCTTGTTTAGAAATAAACTTCAAAGGAAAAAAGTATCATATGTACTTGACAGGAAGCTTTAAACTTACCAATACATTTTTCAGTTTAATGTCCCGGTGAACAAGACCCTGACTATGAAGAAATCTAATACCCTGTATGACATCCAGTGCAATCTGAGAAGGTTTATAAAACTTTCAAATTATTTAATAAGCCATAGATACAAGCACATCAAACAAAAAAAATATTAACAAATTATTTAATAAACCACAGATACAAGCACAGAAAACAAACAAATTAGAGACAAAAATCAAGGACAATGAAACTTATTTGTTTTACAATTCTATTTATTTTTCAGTCTTTAGCAGGGTTTGGCAGTATTTCCAACATGATTCTCAACACTATCAAAAATACTTTCAAGTTTTTAAGCCAGAAGATATGCTCAGCCTAACTTGACTATTTTGGTTCAGATAAATATTTCTTCACAAAAATTTAATTAATATAAAACAGTCAGAATTTATTTTTATGTCAAGCTATTAGATTTACAGCTGTATAAGCTAAATATAATATTTACAAATTTATAAACTGTATTTCATGCATTCAGTCTCTTAGTATTTTGTGCTACAAACTCTTCCAAATCTTTATTGAAATTATCTTTCTACTAATTTTGATTCCAATATATAAATACAGTTTGGTTTCAACCTTATGTCTGCTATTTCAATACAAATTTCATTCTGATTGGCCAAAATAAAGTGTTATTGCAACATATTGCGAACTAAATTATCAAGTAGTATCAAATAATTTTATTTTCTAAACATGTAATTTTGTCATCAAGCAACCTGCAAGTAATCAATCACATAAGTATTTTTCAGTAAAGCAAGTTTAACTAAATAGATCTTAACCATTATTATCCTATATTTTGATAATCTATTGACCATTTTCAATAATAACTAAGTTATCAAGTAGTATCAAATAATTTTATTTTCTAACATGTAATTTTGTCGTCAAGCAACCTGCAAGTAATCAATCACATAAGTATTTTTCAGTAAAGCAAGTTTAACTAAATAGATCTTAACTATTATTATCCTATATTTTGATAATCTATTGACCATTTTCAATAATTTTTACCTTAAGTCGCGTATTAAAGTCCAGCCCAGCTTTAATAGCAGAGTGGAGATCTCGTTGTAGCCTTTCCATAATAAGTAGAACAGCCGGAGTATTTCCACCTCCATAAGAATGGTCAATCACAGAACCTTGGATTTGAACAACACGCTCATGTTCTGCTATACTTCTACAGAAGTACATAAGAAATAATCATATATTTACACACATGTACAGAAAAATTAAACTATATAGTGCTTAATTTTGACAAGTGGACCTCAGTGACAAAGAAAGGATGGCATTCTTCTTTTAACTGTAGAAAACATTAAGGTTTCATTGGGTTTTTTAAAGTGATTTACCAAACATATTTTTCTTACTTTTTTTTTACTTTCATGAAAGTACATTAATATATGTATAGATAGACACATACATACATACACTCACACACACACACACACATATATATATAGACACATAAACAGCTGTATGTGTGTATATACATACACACATATAAACACCTGTAAACTAAAAAAGAAATATCTACACCATATATCCAATGGCATAGCACAAAATGGTTGGGCCTCTCTACAAAAATCATGTTCAGGGCTACCCCTGGATATTTTGGAAAGAACTGAATTTAGGACTGGCCTGGGCAGCCCAGAGTTATACCCTGAGATATTTCTTACCAATTTGAAATAGACTCACCCACTTGTTCATTTTTTTGACAATGGCTCTGCACAAAGGATTTATTTAAAACAGTAACAGGGCTGTTAAACTCAGCAGTCACTACGGGCTCCCAGTAGGACCGTCTGACAAAGTTAATATGGGCTTGTGTAAGCTAGAAAGCAAGAATTAGGAAATATCCCTGGTTTCCCTGCCATCCTTACTGTGCTTTCAAAATTCTGCAGGCCTCTGACATGCACTGGATGTACCTGGATAAGTTATAAGAAATT